CAATCACAGATCTTCTCAAAGGTGTACTCTATCCTCAATTGGTCACACCTAACATGAACAAGAAAATGAGGCAGAATAGAATGAATAGTTTTCCAAGGCGAAGAGAGAGTAGTGTGCTTGTTCAACCTTGCATCTAAGCAATTAGTCACCCACAACATAGATACCACAAAATACCAGAGATAATTTTTGTTTTTATTGTTAACAGTCAAAAACTTTTATTAATTGATGAGAAGAAAGTATATTACAAAAGATGAGAAGGGAAGATAGCCTCAGCTAACCACTTTTGAAACATTTCAATTACAAGTTCCCCTCTGACAAAGCCCCAAAACAAATGTTCTCTTGTTGCTCCTTGTTGTGCTAGACCATCTGTTAGACAGTTAGCATATCAGTAAATCCAGAAAGCCTTGGCTTCCCGCTCCTGCATCAGGGATCTAATTTCTTACAGTACATGTTTATAACTTTATACTAATGCAAACCCTCTAGATCTGTTTGTGACCAACCTACTACGACCCTTGAACCCTCTTCTACAATTAAGTTTCTGTAGTTCAGTTTTTCTTTTGAAGTCCATACAACACTACTCTCAATTCAGCCTTTGTTGAGTCCCCCCATCCAATTGGGCCTCAGAATATGGACAAAATGCTTCCTTCTTCATTTCTAATTACTTCTCCCACTCCGGAAGGGTCAGGATTTCCTATGCTGCAACCCATCAAAATTTAATTGAAGGTGTGGGGGAGGTGGTGCTTCCCACTCAGCTCTTATTCCTGGCCTGCTTGTGAAGATTCTACCACTATCATCCAATTTCTTTTAATATCATGCACTGTTAATGGGGCAAAAGTGTCTAAGGTCACCACCAAAGAACTGCAGTTCTCACACATCTTGAAAGAATCTTACCTACTCTTTTTGTAGTGGCAAAGAATCTTCAAACAAGTTTTGCAACCCGTTTGGTTGTCTCCACCTGCACCCAAATGAAGAAAAGAAATGCTCCCAAATAATAGTCAAACTTAAAGGAGATTAGCAGGTGGGAACAAGTTTCAGCATTTGCTTTGCACAAGAGGAAGCCATGGGGAGAGATAAACCAGTTAGGTATTGTCTGTTGGAGGATCTCACAGGTATTGTTTTTGTTGTGGTAAAACTCCCAGAAAGAAGCTCTAATCTTTGGTGGCACTGGACCATTTTGACAGGAAAGGAGGCGAGGAAAGTAGGGACCAAGGAGAGACTCTTGAGAAATAGGAATCGGAAGGGGTGAGAGTCCAAATTTTCTTTAATATAGACTTTTAGAGGAAATTTCCACAACCATTTGCCCATCAGAGATGTGTTCTTATCATCTAACCACCCTGAACCCAAACCTTTATTTGATCTGAGCCTGCAAACTATCTTCCAACTAATGAGATGTTCCGTTTTTGAATCATTAAGTTCCTGGAGAAAATCTATCATAATGTTTTCTAGTCTTTTGACTACACTGATTAGGGCTTGTAATACCAAAAAATACATAGGGAGGTTGGTTATAGTGATCATAAGTGTTCTTTTACTTCCAAGCTAAAGTTTTTTTTTTTTTTTTTTCTTGGCAAAACCTATCCAAGACTCAGTTTCGAAAGGCACTGGATCTTGGAGTTCCCCCAAGCAGGAGCAATAAGTAGGGCCAATACAAGATTATGATGCCATCTTTAACCCCCCCTCCCCTTTGCAGGGAAAGATAAATAAGAACTAGTAATATCATTAGAGGGGTAGGCTAAGGAGATATTGCCTTATCCAATCAAGGTCTAACTCCAATATATACAAATGCAGTCATAGGCTTTTTGTAAATCCAAACAACTTAGAAACCCTGATTTTCTGATGGTTTTCTTCCTCCACAAACTCATTTGCAACTGAGACTTTGATAGTTAATTTCCTCTTATCCCCCCTCTCTCTCTCTCTCAAATTGGTTTCCTTCTGTGCAAATCATCATTAAAGCAGTTATGAATTCTTGCTGTTTTTTCTACTTATCTTTGGGTTTCATGCCAGCACCATTTGGAAAACTGGGGGAGGGGGTGTTTCTGGGAAAATTTTCCTTTCTGTTTTAGAAACAAAGTGAGACCAGTGAATGGGATTTCCTTTCCTACTGACATTGCATTAACAAAAACAAAGAAAATGAAATGAACCAACTTGCTGAACACCTCCCCAGTAGTTGGGATAATTACTTTCTGATACAAAGTGTTTTGGATAATATTTTCCACAAAAAGAAAAGTAATGATAAAATGGGTCCTATTTGCAGTCAGTGACACATGGTGTTTTCCCTTCTCTGTGGACCAATTATCATTATGCCTTTTTCTTCTTAAAATGTTAATATTATTTCTTTGATCTGGACTTTTCTTTTTCCTCTTCAGGCAATGAGAAGCTAGCTGCAATTGGTATTCGGGTATCTCGCTGGATAACATATCATGGCTTAGCACTGAATGTCACTACAGATCTTACTCCCTTTCAATACATAGTCCCATGTGGCATACGAGACCGTCAGGTTGGGAGCATTGAAGGGCTTTTAGGAGTGTCTGAATCACCCAAGAGTGGAATGGAGGGTAAGCTCACGACAAGTGCTTCTCAACTGATGGATATCACTCATGACTCCTTGCTCAAGGAATTCTCTGAAGTTTTCCAGCTTACTCTCTGCCATGCACCTATCTCTGACTTACCATTGGAAGGGAGAAACATGAAGCTTGTTTACTGAATGAAATGGAAAGAAATAAAGGGGACATTAAAGGTTTGAATTATTTTGGACAAGCATCGAACTGTATGGCTTAGCTTTTTGCATTAATTTACCCATGCGGCATATTTTGAAACTCTCAACTTTGTGTTCTTTTCAGGTCATTATGCCCACGGATTACGGACAGTGCGACGAAGTATCCAGTCAATCATAGAATGTCATGATTTATGTTGCTTGCATGTAGACGTCTAGTGTTCCTTTTCCATGCCCATTATGTGTCCATAGATTAGAAGTGGAGGTATTTTTATCATCAAGCATGGAAAACTATGAGTCAGCGCAGGTGAAGGTATTTTTATCATCAAGCAAAACTCTATTTGGCATAAGTATTTTCATTGTCAAGAAGGGAAAGAAAATCAATCACTCAGTGAGGTATTATTTAAAACCAAGCCAAACCCAATATAATGAATATATATTCTAATCTATTGATAAAAAATATATATATATTCTAATCATCTAGAAAGGAAAGAGTTGAACCACTTGGTGAAGGAATTCTTACCACTTAACCAGATCCTATCTAATTAAGATATTCTTGTTGTCAAGAAAGAAGTCAATCACTTGGTGAATTGTAAAATTAGCCCCATATAACAAAGGCATACATCCTTGTTAAGAAAGAAGAGAAATATATCACTTGCTGAAGTTTTTACTAAGTTAAACACATTAGGTGCAGAATGTTTTTATCACTCAGAGAGGAAAAGAAAGGAATCAAACACATAGTGAAGGCATTCAATATTCTTAGAAAATATTGCTTGGTTGCTTCATAGGACTTTGCCTTCAAGCCACATGGCCTCAAAACGAAAAGGCTTTTCCTTTTCCTTTCTCACTTGCTCTTGGTAAGCTCGTGCATTAAGTATCTTCCATTGATTATTTGCAAACATCCTATCAATTCTTTCACTGTTAAGATTCAGACCCTCCTGATTATTGCTCCATGTGTACATCTGCTTGGATTCAATTACCCAAGTTGATTAGGCCACTTGTTAAAGCCTTAAGAGTGCCTGTAAATGTTCCAACTAATATCTACTTCTCATAGACCTTTACTTTTCCTTTCGTTTGGTGATTTCATTGAAGTTACCCAGAGCAATCCATGAGCCTTGCATATCCAAGTTAATAGAATGGTGAAGATTCCAAACTACATAGCGTCTTCATAGATGAAGTAGTGCCACATAACACTTCTATGATTTAGGCATCAATATGCCTATTCGATGAGATGATCGGTTGATCACCTCCAACATTTGTTCCTCATTTCAGAGGATCACCATCTCTCAGAAGCTCCATTGCCCTTCACTACAAATATGCAAGAGAAGGGGAGTTCTTTTGAGAGATCCTTCCCCAAACTTATTAGTTATTTCCAATCTTCGTCTGCATGAGAGAAAATAGGCTGGGTTTATTTAACCAACATAGATTAAGGAGGTACTGAACTGTTAAGGCCTACTGGATGCGCTAACGGTTCTAACTGATCCAAATCATTGCTCTCGACATGCTGCTCTGTAGCCTTTGCTGATGAAATGGATTGAATAGTGAGATTATTTTCTTTTGGGCTTTCATCCTCTCCTTCCCCATCAGCTGAAGTACCAATGAAGGTGTGACGCTTCTCCTTCTTAATCATAAACTTGATTGTGTTCTCTTATTGCTTCTTAAAGATCTTTTTGCCTTGATTACTATTTGGAGATCCAATCATTTTCAATCTGTAGAACCCATGTGGTTTGCAACCCACATTGAATATTTAGTCGAATATACTATATATTATGATATAAATTCATAACTATAAAAGTATTTTCATTTTAGAGCTTTCGAGCCAAATACAAATTCATCGAATATTTAATTGAATCACGCTTGGATCAGGAAATAAAGTTCAAATTGAACTCGAGCTTAACAGTATTTTAGTTGAAACGAGTCAAGACATACAAAAGTTTGGCTGGACTTGGCTCGATTGCTATTCACATGGCTTGATTACTTCATAGGGTGCTTTAAAAATTTTCATTTACAGATGCGGCATGCAAACAGATGATCCCTTTGGATCATCCTTTTTATTCCATACTAGAAGAGACGAGTCTGAGCCTAACTGTGGTTATATTGATTCTCCATGTCTTTGACTCTTTTAATTGCTGCTAGTCACTTGTAGGCATGTGTTTCACTCTTCTCAGGATCTTCGTTGGGATCTCTTGACTTCATGAAGGAAGACTATATGCAGCTCTCAGTCCTTCGGCTAGACTGATGCTTTATCTGATTTGTGCATTTTCCTTGGCTTTGCTTTTTATAATGCTCTTGGGCAGGGTTGAGTATGGAAAGAAGTGCTTTTCTTGTTTGGGTTTTGGTGCTAGGTGGGCTACGTCTTCTCCTGCAATTCAATTTCCTTTTGATAATGGCCAATTAATAAAATTCTTAGGTGGCCGCCCCTCCTCTTCGAGTAAATTTTGGGGATAAAAAAAAAAAGAAGCATCGACTCATTTGTCTCTCTCTAGACTACAATGCTTGTTGCTAGGGCCTGGCCATTGCACTTAATAGCATTGACTCATTTGCTTGCGGAGGCCTTGATTGGTCCTCCTCCCTTCTCATGTGGTGAATGGTGATATTCTGCTCTTAGCTATGGGCCATATTGTGGCATCATTCTCTCTGCTTCTAATTTCCGATTTCATTGTAATAATCGAAACGTGAGCTTATTTTTGAAACCGAATCGGGGTTACCAGTTTTTGGAAAATCGGTAACCGAAATCGAACCGAAACCAATCGGTTAACCGGTTGACCGGTCCGGTTAACCATCGGTTCGGTTTGTCAGTTTATCGATTTTTTATTATTAATATATATTATAAAAAATATATAATAAAACACTAGAATTATATATAAAATATTATATTTTTAATAATGAATAATATATTATATGTTATAAATATATATTTATATATAATGCATAT